AAAATTGACCATCGCAATACAGCTGCGATCGAAATTCGTGATAAACGCGGCGGCGCATCACGGTGTGACGGACCGCTGAAAATTTCAGAGCCGCACACTCCAGGCGAGTTAAGTGTTTTCGCGCAAAAGTCCCATTTAAATCGCGATTATACGCGCAAAAGTCCCAGCGCGTCCGGTATAGAACGCGCATACACCAAACAGAATGAAATTTAGTTGGCCAATTACCAAGATAATAAGCTTTGAAAATTAAGCATAATAACCGGCTGGTTTGGCGCGCGAAAGGATTATTAATGCAAATGAAATCAATAAGCGGATGAACGAAAGGTTGGCCGAATTGCGCACGGTTTGCCGAACTGCGCGCCGCTGTTGCGAGAGAATTTAATCATGATACTTGTCCATGATACTTAATATTTGTTCACTAATTGCCACGCGTCACATATATATATCCACAATTCATTTTCCTCATATTACTTTATTGTCTTTTATCCGCGCGCGTTATATTTTCGCTTTGTCACTTCCATCCCATTTTTCTGCATTACATTTTCACTCAGTCATTACTCCGCGCCGCTCGCTCGCGGCCATATTTTACGGACGAGAACTAAATTTAATGTCGTTAAAAGTGTTTTCTCATTGTCACGGACCGTTGTCGCTTCCTACATGCGTAGAATTCACGCGAATTTCCTGTTTGCAATATCTTAGTCTCGGGTAAGAACGAGACGATATAAGACTTCGAGAGCAGTGCAAATACGGTGCCCCGTGAAAAGTTTATTTTCGAAGGTTTCCAACACGATCGGAATTCGGATCAGATCGTGGGAAGAAGTTCGTTACAGTAACGAACCAGCAAACCTTTTACCGGACCCGTGCGCGCCCGACTCCTTAATTTTGTTCTCCAAGTAAAGAAGCGTCGGGTCTGTTATTGGGCAAATCCACACGCACACATGCCCACATACCCACACATACACACATACATACATATACATACGCGCGCGTCTGCAGTGAACGAGCACAAACTTCCTCAAACGGTCGACTATATGAGCGTGAAAAATATAGTTTATAAGTGTCAAACTTCGCTATTAGCTAGCCCTTTCCGGATAATTTCCCAAAAGTTTCGAATATTGGTTTCGAAAAAATTGTTCATACTTCGCAAAAGTTTTCGTGACAGCGTGACTAAACTTCTGAAGCATAAAAATTGATATCGTGGACTGTAAATCAAGATAACTTTGTTCAACGCGACTATTTTGTAATATAAAGAGAAATGTTATTTAATAATTTCATTCTTTGTTGAAAGAATCGAATGCACACACGCGATTTTTTTTATATAGAAAAGCGTTTATGTTGTACTTCTTTAAGTTATGAAAAAAAAAACAAGTTTTAATATGTGGGTACGTGTGTAAATAATTTTTCTACTTTATTCATATGTGCTACACTTATACGTTCTTCGTTTCCTTTTCCTCAGGAATAGAAAGGAATAGAAAGAGCCTCTCGTATCTTTTTCTGTATGTTGCTAAGAGCTCAGTTCTTTTGTTATCAATATTTTATCAGAAACAGAAGTGCATCTAAGTTTTGTTAAACAAAAGAAAGTAAGTGTGTTCCCGCAAACTTTTTGCAAATATTACCTGGAAAAAATGGTATATCGCTATAATCCATCGTGTAAATTTCAAGAAGCGCGGATTTCACTTTTTTTCATTAAAATTCGTTTTCTCTCATTCGCGAAAATTAATGTTCGGAGGATCGTGTAGAGAGTTTGTAGAGCGTTCTTCGGCTTTCACGGGAATCAGCGCTGAGCTGCAAAAATTTGCATTTTAATCTTCATACCAACATTGAGAAGTTCTTCTCGTACTTTGCGAGACATTTTGAAATACAAGATCTTTGCAATAACAGAGAGAAGATTCTCGGTAAATACTGCCGCTTAAATAAACTTGTTATATAGTACAATAAAATATGATTAAATTGCAATTGAACTACAAAAATATTGATCGCTTAACTTGACGACTGAGTTTTAATAATACAAAACTGTGACGCTCAATGTTTCAAAAATTACGCAATCTCACGCTTTTGACTAGAAAATTACAGAAGCAATTCGGAGTCATTGTTGTGAGACACGTTTCTTTAAAAAATCGCTATTTCATAACGCACGCGTAATAAACTTTATCGCCCATGATTAAAATCCTCGCGGACGATAAAATCCCTCTGTATTCCGGCAGGACGGAAATTTTCTTGTTCGAGTCGCGAACAAATTGTGATTCTGCACGCATGAAACTCTCGAAGGCTCGTTCGCCTCATGGAACTTTATAAGTCCCATCTCACGGTTCTCGCTGGCATCTGCGTAGAAATTTACGCGCGGTTTCGCCATAACGTGGCCATCGACTCGCCCCGTCCACGAGAATAAACCTGCTTTAATGGCATACTGAATCGGTTTAACGTCTCGATAGATGCCGAAAAGGATTTTGCCCTCACGGGGAACGCCGTCGATGCTTTCGTCTAATGCTTTCCAAAATTTGCATCCTAATCTTTGTAAACCCCACAGGGATTACCGCCGCCGTCTTCTTTCATCGTCTCGAGGATTTGCTTAACCTCGGCTTTCTTTGAGAGGCGACTCTCGTCCTACCGCGATCGATATAACATTTTACGGAATCTCCCCTAAAGTGCATGCCTTGTAACACCGAAAAATATATTAGAAATATGCATAATATATAAATTTACCTTTAAACCGAAGTATATATCTAGAGTCCAAAGTATAGAATTTATAAGTGCTCTATTAACATTTATTATAATAAATCATACACTTTTTAACAAACCTCTGGACAAGATTAATAATGTCGGTGCAGAATAATGGCGTGCATTAATATACGTAATGGTATTTCACCGTGAGAAGGTACCGTAAATTCCACCGAATGGTCAATCGACGTCTGGAGAATTGGGTGAAACTCGAATATAAGTTCGACCGTCAATTAATCAGAGAATTACCGTAAACGCCGCTGATATTATCAGCACCTAGAAACGTCACAAGTTTCGGAATGCATCGCGAAGGGATAGCCGCCGGATTGGCCGCTAATCAAATACAGGATGGACAAGGGGGCGAAGGTAGAAGATTTATTGTAAGTAAATACAATTAGGAGTTACGAGTGCCTTCGAATAACCTTTGGCCCCAGCTGACGCTAACCCAACTACAGCGAACCTGACCTAACTAAATAATCGAATTAGAGGTGCCTTCTACCGCGATGGCGCCCTGCCCCCTCGCTACGAAGTCCGTTCCTCGTCTTCTCCTCATCCACTTCTAACTTACATTCGACACGATCTCTGGACCGTATTCGCAGAATTGGTTCTGATACAGTAAATTGACTGTGGTTTGCCGAGACGGACACGATTTCTCAGGTGTTGCGACGGTTGTTCGTCGACATGATCTTCGTCAGACGGGGTCTGAATGGGAAATTGGAGGGTGTCGATAAACGTAGGAGATCTTCGAGAGTATCGACAGAACGCTGTAAACCGCTGACACAAGTTTTCCTGCTGTTGAACGTGCGTAGGCAAAAAAAAAACATGCAAACGAGAATAAATGTAAAAGATTTTTCTCAATCAAAATTGAGAAAGTTCTGTTTTGTATTTGGTAATTGAGTTTGCGTATAATTTGTATGTCGATTAAACGCTGAAAAACTTTTATCCTGGATCTGCCGTTCTATGAAGGAACGAAAGGAACATCGCTTTTCCATAATCCCTCTCGACGAGGATAGGCGTCGCTTTACCTGCGGATAAATTCGTATGTACGACGTTTCTCCCAAAGTGCGAAGTTGCTTCGCGACAAAGTTGGGGGATATCGATACTCAGCGATTCGACGAAACACTATGCCCCGCCTGCTTTCTAAACAGCTTTCGAGCGCGACAAACGATCCCCTCGGTTCCCGATCGACGTCTGATCAATCTCGACGAAACATCGCGCCTTCTTTGAGAACGCGACTCCTCGCGTTGGAAATATATATATACACACAACTTTTCTCTTCGTTTCAGAAAGTTTCCGGGCTTACAGCCGTTCGCGATAACGAAACTTTCGCTTGTCCGAGTTTTTAGCAAGGAATTTGCACTTTGTGCAATGACATATTGACACGCATTTCAAATGCAGTGTCTAGTTCGTTTGCTCTCTCTCTCTTTCTCAATCGTGTTTCTCGTTATTTCGGAGATTAATTGGATGATTGTAGAATTTCCTATGCAATCGGGATTAATCAAACGTAGAATCTGCGGAATTTCCTTTGCGTAGGAAGAAAACAAAAGTCTGAAGCAAGAAAATAATTGTCTGAGAGCAATAGGTAATAGTAGTTGATAAATAATGATTACTTCAACGGGCTATGATATGAAGAAATCTGTGATTTCCAAATTGCTAAAACAAAGTGGAAAGTAAAAACAACGATAGTTGAGTAATAATAATTATTTCCACGGACTAATAGGATGTGTCAAGAAATCTGTCGCTTGCAGATTGCGGATCGCACAAGCAGATAAGCGATCATTGATTTATAACGGCTGGCAAATGGCTACGTCACCGCGGCTATCCATCGCGAATTGTTCGTTTTATATCCGCCGAATTTCTTGAAGCCCGCTTGAAAGGCCCTTTTTATTGGCCGGGCTATCGGGTGAAACCGCACGCCACGTCCGATAAGGGCGGCCCGTCAATAAAAGCGCATCGGTGATTTACGAGCCGTATGCGGAATGATGACAAAAACAGGCCGCAATAAATCGCGCGAGTACATCGCCCGCCGCCGGGTTATTTGCTGTATATCACTTTGAAAGAATCCGTAAATTTGCCTGCCGCGCGCCAAGATTCCGTCGTAAATACCGTGATCGTGACCATAGGTCGCGACGCGTAGCGAAGCGAACGGCACCGGCTCGTGCGATATAGGTGCTGGACCCGCAGTAATTTATCACGCTAACGTTTCCTTTTATTGTCGCAACGCACAAAAGCCGGTGCGCATTACGAAGTGTACGCTAACGTGCGAAACACGCGTGTTTCAGGATAAACGAGAACACAACGCGGTCCCAGTTCTTGGCCTACTTCAGCTTCTCGTCCAAAGCGAGCACGTCCGTCGGCTGGCCGGTGAGGGGTGGACATCCGGTTAACAATACGGGTAAGATATTTAACTCGCTTTTGCCATGAAAAATTAAATTATGTTACGTTCTAACGCTCGGCGCTTTCGTCAAGGGGGTAATCACTTAATGTAATTATGGGACAGTGTCTCTGAAACCATTATGAAATCCTTACGAAATCTCCATGTAATCGTTTTGCCTTCATTTTCAAGTTCCTTCACTTGTTAGGCAATAAAAATTAAATTTCAACATTTTCTCAAATTGTTTTCATTTTCTCAAAAAATTTACTTCTTTTAGTGAATATCCAAATACACATCATAGATTACGCCTATAAGCGCGTATTATTTTTTTCACAATAAGACTGAAGCAGTTGCTGTTAGGACAGTGAGTTTGTACACCTTTGTGCGCAAATTTAGAACAAAATACAGTAGATACAAACGCAAAATTACTTCTCGTTAAGACCACAGTTAGACTGGTGGGAAAAGTGGGAAGCAAGGAAACACGTTTTCTACCTCACCGAAAAAAAGATATAATGTTTTGAGGAAATCTAACAGCTCTTAACAACGTCGCCTATTTTTAAACGTGCATGTAAGAAAATTATTTGCAATTAGATGAAATTATTTGTAATCAGATGAAATCTAATGAAATCATGTAATCGGTGGGACAGCATTTTAGCTAGTGGTTACCCCCTTGGCCTCGGTCGTACATGTTCCATTTGAATTTCGTACACTGCGCGTTACCCAACGCCGACGATTTCGACGACTGGATCCCTGTCATCTGGCGGTGCATGAAAACTGATTGTCTGTAGAATTACCTGTGATTGATCACAACGCGACTGTTTTCAATTTTAATAACTGGTTTACCGATTCGAATTTAGTAACTGGATAGAGAAAAGTTCACTTGTTCGTCTACTTTGATTTCACGTCATTTTATGCTTAATGTAATAATAGTTGGGGAAATTGTATCGGACTTCGTATTATCGCGAAACCGATAACGTAGCCGAAGTCACGAGGCAATCACGAAAGCGGTGATCTGTTGAACAAGTGAGATTATGGTGCTACGTAAACTTGGTCGCCTAGCCCGCGTTCTCGCTACACGTCCTGTTTCGGACCGCTTCTATCATAGACTATTGCTCAAACTACACGCCAACAACCTAGTTCACTATCGGTTCCCCCATGACGGTAACTTCATCTTCTTGTAAATTACACCCCCGTGGTGTGGCTTATCACGCGAAATGCTCAACTGCACGGGCAATCTACGTAGATAGCGTTCTTCTTAACACCCCTGTGACAAATTTACACGAGCCGGCAAAAGTAAAGTTTTCCGATGCCATTACGCGCGCGTTCCCTCTTTTCACGTTGAGGGATGAAGCGTTTTCAGAGATTCTCAGAGTAAATAAAACCTTCCCCGCGATATTTTTTCGAATCAAACGGAAGCGAGCGCGCGTATCCCCTCGTGAATTGGGGGAGCAATTTTATTCGGGTCCTTCTGAAAGCCACGTGAAAACGGAAACAAACTATTTAACCAACTCGCTAAAGCGTAAACCTCGCAGCATGCTCGCAAATTATCGATGCGCGTTTTGCATGTAAAATCGAGTTACGCGGTAACCTCGTTGCTCTATTCAATTAAAGCATACGTTGGCGAACGTTCGTCAAGCCTCTAGCGTGTCTCCTGTAAAATTCACGACGAAAAATCAGAGCCGCCATGAAAAAGGAGAAAAACGGCGAGGGGAGGAGAGACAGTTTGTATAACGTCAGATTTTTTACGTGTTGCGTATTCTTCTCTCACGATACGAAATCCGGATGAAGCGCTGGAAACGGCATAGCTTCCGAGCTACTCTCGTCCACAATGATAATTTCGGAACCGGGTCATCGGTAGAGGTGGAAAGCGTGAATAGCGAGCGCTGCGGGAAAACTAGGAGCAGCCAGAACATGCGAATTTACTTGCGCGAACGGTAATTCGCACAGAGGGGTAATTTCTTCCCCTAGTTAGTGCGAAAATTATACGAGCTTAAATGCGGACCGGCCCCACGCTTTAAGCGAAGGAGGGAACGGACGAACCGTTCGGCTCTGTGAGGCCATTTAACCATCGAGAGTGTTAGCGATCGAAAGCGTTAACGGGCTCAGTCTCGAGTATCGATCCTCTGCGGGTCGACCGTGCGATCTTTATCTTTAAATGCGACGCGTTTCTAATCTCCAACGTAATCAACGCTTCTCTGTACAGACCTGGTCTGAGTTTCCCAGAGTCTTAGCTGGGATTCTTTTAGAATTCTTTTAAGATAGTTGAATAGAATATTCTTATATTTTATTTACAACAATTCTCGTAGCGAAAGGAGCGAGATGAGTTTAAGAGGTTAAATTTATTATTACGACAATAATTCCTTCCAAATGAAACTGTGTTGTGTCCGAAAAGAAACCGACGCGCAGGACAAGGTGGAAAACGGTGTATGAATTCACGGTTTAGATTACAGTTATTGGGCTACTGACGTCTTGCACGAACCTAAAGGCCCTCTTGCTTATTTGATTTATAATTTACTATATTTGTACTATTGAAAGACTTTCCTCCGACGCGTTTAATTATATCTTTTATTTTTTTTATTTACAATCGATTGGTGACTATTTGATCATACGGCATTTTCGTGTCCTTTTAATAGCTATGCTGTGTAAGTTGGAGACGTCGCGGGTAGTGAGAAAATTGAAAAGCCCTTTTAAAAAAATTGCACACGACGCTCTTATGAGAAAAGTTTCGTGTATATGTTCCTTTGGACTTTCGCGTCTAGTAATATTGTGTAATGACGTACCGGAGTTCTTTGACTTACCGTCACCTCGAGAAATCCGTCATACGCCGCATTCGCGAACAACTAGTAGTGTGCCGAACCTGGGAGAAATAAAAAATACGTAAGAACATGTTGTTTCATTTCTTATTGCATTTTTTATTTAAAAAAAAGCGCATTCTCTGTAATTCTCCAGCAGAATTTTATAACGCTTGCGTTACGCACGTACCTAAGGCAATTTAACTTCTGGTGTTTTAAGTAGTCTTACATTTACGGAAAAAGACACCAGTGTACCATAAAAATATTTTCAAAGCATACTTTTATGATTTTCTTTATTAACGCATTTTCTGTTTGGATCTGTACACCTAAATCCGATCTTATAATAATTCACAATATCACGAGAAAGCTCTCGTGTTATGAAGAATCGCTTAGCATTGCGCGTTTGAGCGATCGTACAACAAATGAGCGCAAAGAAGCAGCGCGACGGGCAATCAGCAATTTTTTCCGAGACGTCGGGCGGAGGGTGGAAAGCCGCGTGTCAAAAGCAAGCGAACAGAAAAGCGGCGAGATAAAGACGTAGCGACAGTGAAAGTGACTCCCGTGAGATCTTTCCTCCATACGGCGAGCTGTAACGAGACGACAACGATTCTCGATTATCCTTGGGAGGAGGAGACCGCGCCGGGCGATCCATATGCACGAAACGTACGACCGAGAGACGTGACTGTCACTCCACCATCCGGATGAGAGAGGTCTTTTTTGACGTCGGCCCACGTCCTATTGGGAAACGTGCGAGAGGCAGCGAACGTAGGGCAGGACGAGGAGCACCAGGCAAAGGGATGTTCTCGAGAGAGGGAACGAAAGGCAGCGTGCGAATAGGGATAGAGAGAGAGAGAGGAGGGGGAGGGAGGGAGAGAGAGAGAGAGAGAGAGAGAGAGAGAGAGAGAGAGAGAGAGAGAGAGAGAGAGGCAATATCAGGCGGAGGCGCCGCCCGATTGACAAACAGATCAATCGTGGGTGGAAAGACGATCCGCAGTCTTGCCGCTCAACCTGGCTCCGGCTCTCT